TTTGAAAACGGAAAGAATAGTAAATAACAAAACAACCGGACAAATGTCTGAGATATTTCAATCTATGTATATTTCTGTCTAGCATACTCTTTTATTGTCTGGAATACTCATTTTCATTTGGTACAACTAGCTGTACCATAGTACAACTACGAGTAACATTTGGTACAATTATAAAAATGAGAGTACAACTAAAATTAAAAAAAAACCACATGATACGTCTAGACTTGGTGTACAGTAGCTTGCGAGACATTAGATAACAAAAAAAGAAACAGGACAAAACAAACAGTAGACAGTGAAGAAAAAGAAAAACTCAAGAGGCGAGCAAGATGTGTCTCCGTTACTCCCTATTCTTCATCCTCTTCTGTCTCGTTGCAATCCAAGGTTCTGATCTAGTGATTATCTGTTTCGACCCTCTTCTTTATCATTTTCTGACAAATCTCTAGAACATGGAATTCCAGGTTTTCTATCTGATTCGGTGTATTGGATCTGTTTATTTGTTTGCATAGGTTTTGCCAAGAAGACGGGAGACGTGTCGGAATTGCAGATCGGGGTCAAGGTAAAATTCCTTTTCGCCGATCATCAAATGAGCGATCTAGTGTATTGTTTAAGCGCGATAGTAGAGTTGTAGCTTCTTTTCCCAATTACCTTGTTTCTTTCCGATCCGAACATACATGAACTTTTCAGCTATAACTAAATAGTGATGTCGGATCCCATCGTTGTAGTGTTTCTTTTCTTCTCCATTGTTTTCATTGGATTACTATAAATGTTAAGCTAACCGTTTGTTTTGTTCGATCTAGACAATATTCTCTCTTTCTGTCTGGTGGTTTTGATTGATCTGTGTTCTGTTTTGGTCCCTTTGTAGTATAAGCCAAAAACGTGTGAACTTAAGGCTCACAAAGGTGATAGGATCAAGGTGCACTATAGGGTAAGCTTGATTACTACAAAATCAGATTCATCATTGTCATGAAAAGCAGGACGATCTGTCTCAAATTTTGGTGTTGCTCCTGTGTAACATAGTGTTTTGTGTCAGGGAAAACTTACCGATGGAACCGTTTTCGATTCGAGCTTTGAAAGAGGAGATCCGTTCGAGTTTGAGTTAGGCAGTGGTCAGGTTATCAAAGGTTGTGGCTTGGCTCTTACCTGCTTGCTTTTGACTTTTTAGTCTCTCCTTTTGCTCGTAATTCCTCAATGGTAATGGTAATATTCGGTTTTGTTGCAGGTTGGGATCAAGGCTTGCTAGGTGCCTGTGTTGGTGAGAAGCGCAAGTTAAAGATACCTGCAAAACTTGGTTATGGGGAACAAGGCTCTCCGCCTACTATCCCTGGTATAAGCTTTTAACATCTGTATGCAATGTCATCACGATATGGGTTTTCGACTTTAGAACTAAAAACAGTCTTGCAAACTTCAGGTGGTGCAACGCTGATATTTGACACAGAGCTTATAGCGGTAAATGAAAAACCAGCTGGGGGAGAAGAAAACGGAGAAGATGGAGATGACGAGCTATGATTTGGTTTCCAATGCTGTTTGCTTTGCTTCAGTGATAGGAAGAAAAGGTCATTGGGAGTTTTATTGAAACTTTCGGTACTTCAGTTTGGCTTAGGCATAACTGTTTTTTTTTTTTATATAAAAGCTGCCAAGGATTGTTGTGACGACATTTTAACATTTTTCTTCATTTAACTACGACTTCGTTTTGGTTTTTGCTTTTTGGGTACGGAAACAACAACACTGAAACTGGCCAAAAAGTTTCAAGGGTTTAATTTGTGAAATAATC